AAAAAATTTATTATAGTTATGATACAGTCTTTATTATAATAAATTATTATTAAATAAATATATAATTTTTATTTTATATACTAAGCAAATATCTATATAAGATATAATATATTTATCTATAAACTAAATCTATATCTAAATAGAATTATTAAATATAATTAGTAGTAAATATAGATGCCAGTTTATAACTAATTTACAAGATAAATATTATAAAATCTTATAAATTAAATTTATTTTTTATTATATATTATTTTTAAACTAATAGTTAGATAGAGATTATTGATTAATATATAATGTAACAATTTATTTTATTTATTAATTATTTCTAGAATAACTGGTTAAAACTATTATCTTTGATTAATTTTATTATTATTATTTTTTGTATAAATCTACTAAACTATTATTATTTATAATGAAAATATTACAAATCTAGAATATTGTTTAATTGAATATTTTCTATAGATTCTCTACTATATATAATTATTTAAAATTAGATATAAGAATTCATTTATTGAATAAAATAAATCTAGTTTTTTATTTGAGAAAATATTTAAAAGGCTTAAGACTAATAGATTTAATAAATAAATTATTAATATAGAAAACTAATACTAGAGCCAGTCTTTATATAATTTTTCAGATGATTAATATAAATCTATTCTGATTATTAATAAAATAAATAATATATATAAAATTTATCTTCTGAAAAATGTATATATATATTTAATTTTTTATATTAAGAAACTATAATTCTAAAATTTATTAGAATTTTTATTTAACCAGATTTAGAATACTGCTTTTTCTATTAAAGTTGATAAATAAATAAAATAAAAAGTTAAAGAGATAATTATTAGTTATTTATATTATAAATATTTACAATATAATATTAAATAGTTTGCTTTAGCTAAAGCAGATTATATATAATATTTAGAAATTTTAAGAATATTTTATTTCATTTATAAAATTATTATATTTGATACTCTATCTATCCCAGACTTTTTAAATGATCATTATAATAATAAGCTGCTGCTGAGCCTGATAAGTTTATATTAAATTATAAGAATCATAATATATCTTTAATTAAGAACAGTCAGTCTTAAAAAAATATAATAATAAATAATATAATTAAGATATATAATATAATTTTTATTTATTTTATTAGTTATATAAAATCTTATTTATTTATTCTGTTTGCTTTATATTATTCATTTATCTTTATTATTTATATATATTTTCTTATATTTCTTTCCGTTCTCCTCTTATATTCAATTCAATATTCTAGTTTAGATGCACTGAATAGGATTATTTGATTAGCTCTTATAATTATTATAGAACATAATCTAGAGATATCTTAGAATGATTGTATTTGATTTATATCTCTGAATATTATATTTAAATTGATAATCTTATTTTAATATAATATATTAATTCACTAGGCAGAAAAGATCAAAGACTAGATTAATATATATTTAATTTAGATCAAATATTAGCTTTCTATTACCTGATTTCAATTCAATTATTTATGTTTAAATATATTTCAAAATACATCCTTTATAGAAACTATCGAATCCTTCGGCTAGAGAAATATAAAAAAAATAAAAAGATACTTCATAATATTTTACGTATTTACTGGGATAAGATACTATTAAAAATACTAGATATTTATATTTAATTTATATTAAGATACATTAAGATTATCTATTTATCTAAAAGCTATCATATAAAATATATACAGTTGTCCTGGATTTAAAGCCATGAACAAGTGTCTTTACAAAAGCACACCCACGAATACTTTCAGAGATTAAATAATCCTGAAAAAAATATATTTAACTATTATTTTTGACTATCTATATTACATTTCTAGTATTCATTAATATTATTCAACTGTAATATTACAAAGACTCACTGGAAAGATTATATAATTCCAAGTAGTTAAACCGATTGTAAAGAGTAACAATTTATGTAAATAAATATACTGTTAAAAAAACATCACTAATATCAAGTACTATCAGAAAAGTAGCAGTAGAAATAATTCTTCGAATATAATCAAAAAAATCTTATTAAGATCAAAATATTATAGATTTATAATAGGCTGATCATGTTAAATTAATTAAATCTATTATAATATTAAAAAAGCTCTTTATTATCTTGATATTATATTTCTATTTAAAGATGATAAAATAAGACTTTATATTAATTTCTAGTTTATATATATTAAGTTAAATTAATAAGATTTATATCAAATACAGTAAGCAGTATTATAATAAATTAAGTTTTATGAAGATCTTGATTCCGGGAGAACTCATATTATAATAAAGATATATTTATATATTTAAAAGATTAATAATATAATAATTTAGATTGTATATTACATGAATCAGAATGTAATCAAATAAATCAATTAATAAGAATATTACTGGTGATCGAGATTTAAAGATCTTAAATTATAAAATTATAGGTAAAATATTGTAAGTAGTACTATATTTCTTATAATATAATATAAAATAATCTTAAATATTTGTATATATAATTATCTCTAAAATTAAAGCTTTAGATAGGCCCTCAGTATTGTAAATCTAGTTTTATAATAGATATTATCAAAGTATTCATTTAGAGTATAGATATCTCTTATTTTCTTTATATTTATAATATACTTAAATTAGAGATTAATGATATGAACAAAATAATAATAATAATATCTCGAAGAAGTTTCTTAGATGATTAAAATTTATTTTAGTTATTTTAACTTATAGTTTTTAATATACTAAACTAGAATTAGTAGAAAGTACGTTTAATAGTTTTTATCTTTCATTTTTTATATATTGTATTATTAAAAATAAAACTCAATTGAATTTAATTGAATTTTCTCTAAAATGCAAATCAAATTTGAAATAAAATCTGTTTTATATTCTTGATTTAAAAATAATTCATAGATATACTTTCTCTAATAATTAGAATTTTAATTATAAAAAATCAATTATGAAAAAGATATACGTTAAGTCTTGGAGTATATAGAGTTACCCTGGATTTGATACTTATATAATATTAAACTTAAAAGCTTTTAATAATTTAGCTAATATAGAAACAGCTAATTAAACTTTTAAGAATTTTATTTTAAAAAATCTTATTTTTTGCTTTATATTATTACAGATATATATTATAAAATTCTATACTTAAATGTATATAATTCTAAACTCCAGAAGATATTATATCTACAATAAAATCTAGAAATATAACAGTAAAAATTGATAGAAAAATAATAAAATTATAATAATTAAATTATTAAAATCACTAGTTATATATATTTTAAATCTATTGTTTATATTTTATTACTCTAGAATTATACCAAATATTCATTTATTTACATTAGAATAATTTATTAATAGAATACTTTGGAGTTTGGAAAAATCTAAATATAAAATTTATTGTATAGAAAATTCTACTGGAACGAATTATATAAGAATATAAGTATTCCTAAATATATTCAAATTATTTATCATATCAAAGTTATAGTGTTCTGATATATTAATTATATAATACTCTTAAACTTTCATTAATTATTTTTATTATTTTCTATCAATAATAAATATTATGAATTCTATTTATTTATTTTATCAACAGGTTAAATCAATTTTCAGATTCTTTATTAAAGTTATATCTGTTAGGAATTTATTTTTATAAATAAATTTTAATTGGATTTGATTTATAATAATTTTATAATATTAAACCTTCGAACAGTACTTTATCTGTAAGTTAATAATAAAGCAAAAAGAATAAATCAAATATTTAAATATTATTTACAGTATAACTCATGCTAATTTAGTATTAATCAATTGATATTATTATGTATTATTAAATTTACTTATAGTACTATAAAAAACATGAATACTAAGTAATTATATAATAATATTCTATATAACTATTTATTGGGTTTTTATATTAAAATTATTAAAATTAAAAATAAATTTTAATAGCAGAAAGTTCTAGCTATATAAAATAAAATTAATAAATTCGAAGAAAAATAAAAAAATAACTACAAAATACCAGGCAAATCCATAGAAATATTTTATTTTCAAACAGGTTTAATTAAATTATTATATAGATTGAAATTAATGGTTTATAACATGCTTTTTAGAATAATAATAATAATAATAATAATAATAATAATAATAATAATAATAATAATAATAATAATAATAATAATAATAATAATAATAATAATAATAATAATATCTATATTAAAATCTCACGCTTAGGAATAGCTATATTTTAAAAATGTAAATATATAAAACTTTAATTATTTTATATTTAATAATATAATTATTATATAAAGATTATATAATCTCTCAGATTGGAAGATTACTGATAATAATTTTGAAAAATAATTAAAATATAAAATTAATAAAAAAAAGAAATAAAAAAAAACTAGAGAAGCTGGTAATACATTAATAAAATAGATAATAAAAATAAAATAAAATTTTCTAAGTAGAAATTAATTTTTAAAAATATATATAAAACAGCCTAATTTTCGTGGAATAAATAGTTTTTCCAATTTTTACTTAAAAAATTATTAGTCCATATGAATACACAGGCTTCATTCATATATGATTAGTTATTGTAGTCTTTAGGTTCTCACAGTTGTCATAACTGCCAGGGCCTGCAGGCTTTTCTTCCTGACAAACTTCCGATCATAATGATCTTTTCTATGAAAAAGAAATACCGAACTCAATATAATCTGAGAATCTCCATCCAGGAACCACACGTAGGTCATTGTATATTATATATACAGACTCTACAGAGCTGCTTTTACAAGACTGCAGAGGCGGTATGCAAAGTCATATGACCATTGCTAGGACAATCTAGAAGGCTGCTGAAATGGAGTTAGGACAAACATGGCGGAATTGACTGGCAGAACATTATTATATACTCTAAACTAGCACCCAAGTTCTTGTCGGCCTTCAAATTATTGAGCCATCACCCACCAAGATACCCGCACAGCAGCCATGCCTTCTAGTGACCAACATAATGATACCATCGCCCAAGTAAGTTGATCCGAGCATGACCAGTAATCGCAGTTTAATGGATACATACATTTTTAGCGCCTTGGTATTGCTATATTCAACATGAAGATGCTGATCACTAGCAACAGGCTTTCAAGGATATTACAAGGTATGCGTCAAGACAACCAACCCTTGTTTTCACCTAACAGGATGGTCCCAGTGGCGAAATGACAGCTCTGGCGCTGGAAAATCATTTGGACAACCTGGAGAACAAAATAGAGGAGTTACTGAACGCGTTTGAAAAGCACCCAGAAACCGAGCAGACGAATGGGCAATGCTATAATCAAGACGAGGTGACATCGACACAAGCTCATGTTGAGGAGGAGTTGCGAAACAAGTCCTCCAAGTGAAACTGGCCATCGGCGTCCTTCTCTGCCACGCCCTTCTCTGTGATGATACCGTCAATAAGTGTGGACGGTGTGACATCAAAGGCCGGGTTCCAGACATCGATGCCATCAGCGGCTATGCGCACAGTTTCTAATTCAATATCATCGGTAGATTTGTTGGCACGCGGTCCTCTGACAGTTGTGACTTCGGAGGCCGCACGTTCCTCGATTATGATTTCATGACCGGACGGGGTGGCCAGATCAATTGTAGTAAGCGGTGCAGCAACGAGGAATTTCACACCGTGATACCTTGCAAGCACAGCGAGGCCATAAGTACCAATTTTATTCGCTGTATCTCCGTTCGCAGCCACCCTATCCGCTCCCACTACGATGGCATCTACCTGAGTACCAGACTTCGCAAGTAGAGCAGCGGCCATAGAGTCTGTTATGAGAGTGGCGGGGAGACGGTCGTGGACCAATTCGAACGCAGTCAACCGAGATCCTTGATTGTAGGGTCGTGTCTCGGTGCAGTAAGCACGGTTCAGATTCTCTGTAGACGCAAGGGCGCGGATAACTCCGAGCGCAGTGCCGTAACCTGATGTTGCAAGGGAGCTGACGGCGGGTTAGGATCGGATCACCTGCAGTTGAGCTTGGTTGTACTTACCCCGTATTGCAATGTGTGAGAACAGTAGCCTTCGGCTTGCCCACGGCATTGGCCATGATCCATTGGGCACCATGCTTTCCTATGTTTTTGTTGTCCTCAATATCCTTCACCAGCATTTCCTCTGCTGCTTGTATCAGAGCAGTAGCGACGCTGCGCCCAGTCGATCCAGGCCTTTGTGTATGATCACTCGCCACGGCCCTAAGCTTCCGAGCAGCATCGGCCAGATTTACTGCCGTGGGTCTGCTGCTCACAAGATAATCTAGCTTGTCCATGATGAAAGCTTGAACCTCTGGGGCTTCTGAGGGAATGCCATTGCATGAAATAAGGCCATGAAGTTCAGATGCAAGAGCGAGGGCCGCTACAATGGCAATAGCGGGTGCTCCTCTTACACGCATATCTTTTATTGCGTGCCATGCTTCCTCACTTGATTGTATCGTTATGTATTGTTCCACATATGGAAGCTGCAGTTGATCTATGATGGACAGATTGCCCTCGTTATATCTGATTGCCTGTAAAGTCATGATTTTGTTCAATTCAAAAGAGGCGAATTGGTTCAAGACTTCTGAACGCTATAAGTTCCTTGCGAGGGCACACTTTAAAAATAAAGCAGAAAGTAGGCTCTGCAAGACCGAGTACGAAAAGATAAAGTAAAGATCGAATGTGACGTTGGCTGGATGATTAGAAAATTTGAAACTCGGAGCCTAACTTGCTGGTCTGTAACACAGCACTGAATCCAGAATCGCACTTTTAACCGTTAGGTGGGGCACAGTGCCTAGGTCACTGCCGTACCTTATAAAGCAGCCTCTAGTCAGACGGTTACCCCTCCATGAGCGATTCCTGGTTTGCGCAATGGAAGTAGTGCAGATTCTAAAGTATAACTATCCTTTTATTTGACATGGGTCTTAAAATAAGAGATTGTTTCCGCTGCTGGAAACCTCGTTCAGAGGCTCAAACAAAAACCATTTGGATTGACTATCTGCGCTGGTCATCCAGTTGATAGAAAAGAGTCGCTAATAGAAATTCATAGTATTAATGCGCGGATATATACAGCACTATGAGAGTCAAAGAGAAATAGTTAGACGTGTTCATCTCCTTAGGTGTGACATAACAAACCGTTATTTCCGCGAATGAAGGCATCCCCGTAACTGCGGGACAGATTTCCATTAACAAACTCCTCAGATTTCTCCAGAGCGATATTCATATAGCCATCTACCGATTGAAGTTCCCCTGAAGAGTTCGTTAGCGTTTAATATTCCTGTTCTTCGTTTGTATATATCTCCTGTCCCCCATAAGAGTCGTACTCTTCTCCTGTACCGGGGGAGAAAGACTCGATTTTGGCAGAAACAGTAGGTAGAACAAAGCAGAAGATGACTGTTCACCTTTATAGACAACGCCTGAGTTCAATTTAACAGTAACTGGGGCGCCAATGATTTCACCCAGAAAAGCTGAGGGATCTTTGCCATCAGATGAGGCACCGTTCTCCATTTTGCTGTCCTTTCTCTCTTCCTATCTCTAAGCTTTGAATAAGGGCTGGAAATGCTCAACAGGCGCTAGGTGATCGTAATCGGCAATTTCACTGATTTAGTAGTGATTGGGGGTTATCATCAGTCTTAGCCCGAAAGGGGTTAGACGAAGGCCGAGGTCATGAAACACGTGCCTCTCCGTAAGCTGTAACACTGTAACATTGAGTACTGTTTTATCAAGCATTCTGTATGACTGCATCTGGGCAACTCACACTCATTTTAATTCCATTGCGATATCCGATTTGCACTCATCAATACCTTTCACCACGTCCGACTCAAATGCGTTCGTTTTTCAAAAAGCCTTCATGGGCAAGCAGGGGAGATGAAGGAACAGACCCGAATTTCTACCGTCATGCTGGTCAAGTCTATAATGACATTATCACTGCCAACCGGAAAGCTCGTGCTAGCCGACTGTCTGTAGTGCAGGAACCAAAGGAGGAACCAGAGCAGGAACCAGAGCAGGAACCAGAGCAGGAATCAGAGCACACAAACTCCAAACGTCGACGTCTCTCCTGCAGACAGCCCTCCGCAGAAAGTTCATTAGAGGCCCTCACTCACAATGAAGCACTGCACAATGCGGAACAACCATTGGATTATAATGCTTCTTATGAGCACTTACAAGAGACCAATAACAATGGCGATAGTTGTGGTCCATCCGCGGGAGTCTCATCTTGTGGTATCACAGTTGGAATTACAACAGAGACTGACGACCAATGTTGTGAGTCACTACCTGATGTGGAGCTTACTCAAGTTGGGACAATCCGTGCGCATTCAGAAGTTACAAAAGCAGTCAAAGAGAACAAGATTGCTTCCGTGCAGCAGTCACGTTTCGAAAATGCTCGGGAAGTTGATGAGACTGTCAAACCCCATAATCACAGTCTTGCCCATAATCAAGCAATAGTGCAGATCCTCATTACCTCAAAAATCCCAAATACCAAACCATTGATTGTCCGCCGAAAAATGAACCAACCTCTAAAGGATGTCCGTCTAGCATGGTGTAATCGCCAGAAATTCACCAAAGAAATGCAAGAATCGGTCTTCCTGACCTGGAAGGGTAAGAGACTGTTTGATGTTACTACATGCCGAAGCCTGGGAATCCATGCAAAAAGCGGTAATTTTAACGGACATGACACATTCCACTTAGATGTGGAGGATATACAAGTTCATATGGAAGCTTCTACAGAAGACCTTCTCAACGCTGATCTTTCACACTCACAGACTGTGACTGACGCCAAGTCCAGTCCGGAATATACGAGCTGGAATGGAGCAACTTCGTCCCCAGACAGGATACTATTAAAGTGTCCCGGGTTTGGTGATTTGAAGGTAGAGCTGAACCTGGAGATGCAGGTATCAGAGCTAGTTGCTACCTTTCGTGCTGCTAGGCAGATACCCGCAACCCGTGATATACAACTTGTATTTGATGGTGACCGCTTAGATAATAATGCTTATCTTGCAGACTACGAGCTCATGAACAGCGATCTTGTGGAGGTTATAATCAAGTGAATGAGTTACAAATGTAGGCAAAATATCACGAATATGTCTAAAAACCTGTTCACATATATAATAAACAATTTGTACTAGCTTAAATTTTATCAGTCATATCGGAATTTGCAGTGGTCTTAGATTTCTCAAAATTTCTATAGTTTGATACCTAAATTGATATCTTCCCAGGAATGAGTGGGGGAGGGTGGTTTCATTACCCCATATGAAACATGATTTCACGGCATCATACCATACCAGTGATTCTCTGCGCCGTAGAAGACAGCTGACATTGTTCTCAAGTCTGGATTATTTCATCTTCAAATCTTTGATTTCTTCAAAGGCATGTGCTTGTCTCGTAACTACCCCCTAATTCGTAGCATGTTAATTTAAATTTCGCTGAGGCTTGAGAAACGGCAGCCAAAGTATGAAAATTACCGATAACGTAAGACACTAAAAATTTCCCACCCAATATATCCAAAGCGAACTCTGTAAGGAAAATGTAGAACCGTCGCCCACTTTCTTCATTCTGGGTTAATATCTCTATTCGAAATGAAGCTCATCACTGTCAACTTTCTGACCTGTGCTGTGAAGGGGTGCAAAACAGCAGCAGCATCATATCCGCTGCATTTTCGAGATGCTGAATTAGAATTGCAGGAACTGGAGTTCCAGCCAGAGTTCATACTCAATATTATTCCTCGGATTGATTGGGAAGCGCTGCGAGTCATGGCAAATGAGGTGCGTGTACACTCCTGGTCCAATGCAAATCATACCATACACTGCTTTATAGGCTGTTTGAACTCACCCGGAAATAGCTCGGTTTTCCCAAAATCCCAGACACTAAGCCGGAAGGTGATGCGCTTAATGATGAGCAGCTTCTAAAGGAACTCCACAGGCTCTTGTTAGAAACACAGGTTGTTGAAGGAAGATTGTGTTGCGGAAATTGCGGCCATGAATATATGATCAAGGAAGGAATCGCTAACTTTCTTCTTCCCAGCCATTTGGGTCTGATATTCTTTTCCGTTAACCTTGTCCTTGACTTTGCTGACCACGCGCAGTCTAAATATACGAAGGTGTGAGTTCAAGTGAGCCCGGTCACTGGAACACGAGATGCCTGTCCAGGAATCTGTTGGTCTCTTATTGACAAAAATATTTGTGACCTTCCGTCAGTCGGCTTTGCATCTACCAATACTGCCAACCGGCTGTCAACTCTACGTAAACAAAGGATCGCAAGTTAATTTGGGACTTGAAGTTCCACGAATGCCTTGCAGCCGGTCAACTCATATCATGAGATACGCACTTCGTTGTTATAAAATACAATCCTACCAGCCGGATGCTGGTCCTTCTCTCGACCAATTCCAATGAACGCCATCAGACTAATGCATCTATCTATAGATGGATTTGCAGACCAAGATTGAGGAAGGTATCGAGATTTGAGTGGCTGGGTATGGAAGGGGAGAGGAGGAGAGAGAGTAAGAGAGTAAGAGAGGGAGAGAGCGAGAGAGCTAGAGTGTGTGTGAGAGAGAGGGAGAGAGGGACAGAGTGAGAGACAAAGAGTAGTGGGGAGGAAGTTCTTTTTGACATGGATTCCGGGAACTCAGTGGAAGCCTTAGTTGAGAAAACCTTTACACCCGGTCGAACCACAGAGGCACGGGATTCTGTCATCGCTATCCCACTCTCTCTCAAATTTGTAGTCATATGTCAGCTCTTCGTCTGTTTATGGAGTATGTTAGTATCTTTTCAATTTGACCAATACATGCCATGCCCACTTACCCCTTTCAATGTCTCGTAATGCATAGATGACGATTCGCTTGCTGCCATCGACCTTTATTATTTTGGCCGTGCAATTCGGCGTACAGCTGTGGTTGATAAACCTGGCAATACCACCCCTCTTTGTCGCATCTATAACTGTGTTTTCATCGATACGAAAAAGGTAACTACTACCGATTCCGCTTTTCAGGTAACGCCGTTCTCTCATGTCAGCAACCTGCTGCCGGACCTTCTCACCCACATATTCAATGATCATGTCGTTCGCAGATATGTTCTCTTCTGCATAGAGGCCCCAATTATGGATGGCGGATCGAGCAAAACGAACTGGCTTCTTCCGTTTCTTCAACTGGTTGAACCGGAGAACATCTCCATCGCCGCTCTGAGTTGGAAGAGCCTGCTTTTGAGCGTTGATATCAGCAATGAGGCGGCGATTGTTAACCCTTGTTGAACGGGAAGTGGACTTCGAAATCGTTTTTGCTGCAGCAATCCTTGCGGCTTCT